GGGATGACTCGCAAACACCTGCCAACAGGTGAGCGCCCACGTGGGTCCCGGGATGACTCAGCGAGGCCCCTGGCCTGGAGCAGCTCGGGCCTGCTGTTTGCAAACAACAGACCTCAGCCCCACCAGCTCTGTTGTGAGCTAGAAGGAGGCTAAGGAGGAGGAGTGATGGCGACTCACTGTCTACCTGGGGGAGAGCAGGGGCTCTCTGTAAGGCCGCGGTGGTAAAGGCGGGACAGCAGAGGCCGGATGGGCTCTGGCACAGGCACTCAGCGGCCCTCCTAGCTTGACGGCGCCCAGGACACCACATGCATGAGTGGACACAGGACCTGCCGGTGGGCGGAAGGTGGCGCGAGGGAGACGGCGTGCCGACCTCTGATCGGTTCTCAGCTGGGAGGCTCGTGAAGTCACCGGCGGAGTTTCAAGTGGCCTGGTGATGGGTGACGGCTCGTCGCAGGCGACTGACAAGCACCGAGCGGGGAGAGGCAGAGGCCTCTGGGAGGAGGAGCGCCCGCGCTGCTTCTTGGTTGAAGGCCCCTGCGCAAGCAGCGGGTCGGGCTCCGCCCGGAAGAGCCGGCACCCGCGAGCCCCTCCACCAGCCCCCGGGGACAGCACAGGCGAGCCAGAGCTTGGCCGTGCCGCGTGGCGCATGGCTCTGCCTGGCAGCGGTCACGTCAAGGACCCAAGAGCTGTCCGCGGCCCTGCCAGGCTTTCTGGCAGCAAAGCCCCGGGTCAGGGCTGCTCTGGGCGCAACCTCAGGCCGTGGCGAGTGCGGGTCGTGGCTGCAGACGACACGCAGCGTGACGCTCTCCGTCCCCGGGGGCCTCGCACAGCAACTGGGAAGTTGACAGCGAGGGCGGCCGCCCAGCCTGCCGCCAGCCCAGGCCCTGGCACAGCGCTCCGGGCCCTGCGCTCAGCCAGTACCTTCCCTCCGCATTTAAACTCAGAGCAAGGGAGAGAAGGTCAGAGGGAAGAGGAGGGTGGGGGAGGGACAGGGAGAGAGTGAGGGCCCGCTGGGGTGGGGGCGACAATGAAAAGGGGCAACTGACACATCTCGAGGTGACACTTCCCTCGATCTGAACTGTAATTTCCTGCAGGAACGGCGCCAGGCTTTTCTTCTTGTTAATGATTAGAAATTACCCACGAGTCTAATCGCTTGCGGGGTGGGGGTGCCTGGGGCGCTCGGGTGGCAGCCCGGCCTGGCTGTGTCTCCGCGCTCAGCCTGTGCGCTGGGAGCTTTGGGGTCTGGCCCACTGCCAGCTCACCCTGGGCGCCCCGTCCAGCTGTTGGCCTCCTTGTGGCCTGAGGCTGCTGCCGGGGGGCCCGGGCCCCTGGAGCCGCCCCCCGTCCTGGCTGCAGTGGGCATCAGCAAGGAGCCGGCGGCAGGAGGATGCTCGCAGAGGCCTGCGGTCAGCTCACGTCGCTCCTCGTGCCCGCTCCGTCGGGGGTGTTTGGGGGGGAAACATGGCCGTACTGGAGGTCGCGCCCTCCTCTCTGTCCGCTTTCCCCTTCAAGGACCAGTGTGGTTTTCATTTTCCTTGCTCCCAGCAGCAGTCAGCCTTCAAATCCCCGGAGCCGAGAGGGGGCCCTGCACCCCCGAGGTGCCACCCCTCATCTCTGGGTGCCATGCTCCTCCGGAGAATAGGCAGCGATTTCAAAGGGCCCCACGCGGAGTGATGAAGTGCAAGGCGTCGCTGGGAAGCAATACCCGAGCAGTGAAAGTGGGAACAGATGGGAGAGGCGCTGTGATGGAACACGTCTTGGAGGTGAAACACCCAGGAAACGGTCGCTGAGGACAAAGCGCCTGGTGATTTTTAAATGATCTATTTACGATGGGATGAGGAATAGAATTAAAAGGAAATCTGGCAAATGAGTGGCCACAGGTAGGAAATTAAGATCCCGTACGCTCGCATCAGACGTGCATTCCAAGATAGGAAGAAATGAACGGGCTTTTTAAAGGATTCTTTTTTCTTTTCCCACTTTATGAGTAATATCATCGCAGTATAAAACAATTGGGAAATAAACAACAGCGAGGCCAAAGTGAGTGGCAGCCCCCCCCCACACACACACACATCCCCTCCGGTTCTGGGGCGCAGTTGGCAGTTTGGTCTCTGGTTCTTCAATATTGGGTGTGATAGCAGCACCTAGATTACCTCGGGAGGGCACAGGCTAGAAATGACTGGAGAAAGGACTTGCTCGCACTGAGGGGCCCGGCCCCACCCCCGCCGGCTTTGGGGGGCTCCGAGGACCCCACTGCCACACCCAAGCCTCTACCTCAGCGAAGTTCTAAGTCCGGCCCTCGGCTCAGCCTTGGCTGCCAGCAGAGGGGACAGGTGAGGAGCTCTCAGGTGGGCATACCTGGCTGTGCTGCTCACAACCGGGCCGGGAAACGGGGAAAGGCGG